TCTCCTTCCAGTATACAGCTCCACGAACAGAGAAGGCTGCAGGGACATCCATCTACTTATGAAATCAGTAGAAATTTTCTAGTAAAGTTACGGCTTTTTAGTCTTGAGAGTCTTACCTTGGTTTACCATGGGTTTAATGATCCAAGGTTGAGATGTTGGAAATGGGTTGATGGGGCATCATTTCTTAAGACTAATGTCAGTTGTGTAAAATAAATACTAACTACAAATATGTGAATCAACCTTTGAGGAACTCAGATGTTACTTTTCTAAATGGAAAAATTAAAAGGAAAAGAAAAAAAATAAAGCCTGCAGAATCCACCTACAAGTCAGATTATCTGGGTTTAAGAAAACTGGGAAAATATTTTTGTTAGCATCAGAGCATAGAAAAGGCCCCCGGCTGACTGAAGCTGCTCCCTCTAAATCCATGGCTTCTCCAAATGGTACACAAGAACTTGGCCAGGGAAACCTGATGGCTTCTCATGCTCTGCTTGTCTTCTTGGCCTAATACTCCAGCTCCCAGCCGGAGCTTTTCCTTGCCTTTGTCATCGTGAGAAAGCAAAGTGTGGCTGAAAAAAAAATATCTACGAGGTCGACATGCTTTAATATGGGTTGGCCTGAAACTCTCTTTGTATGTAACTGTGTGTATCGCATGTGTTCATGTTGGGGGCGGGTATACATGTGTGATCATGTGTGTGGAAGCCAGACTGCAGCACAAGGTGACTGTTTTGATTGTGCTCCACCTTCTTCTCATAGGCAGAGCCTTTCATGGAACTCAGAGCTAATGGATTCAGCGAGGCTGGCTGCACAGCCAGGTCCAAATGTCCTCCCATCTCCTCATCCCCAGCACTGGGACTGCACATGCGCACCAGCGTTTGCAGTAATTTATGTGGTGCTCAGGCTAAACTCAAATCCTCACTTCCAGCAAAGGACTCTCCCTACCCCTTTCAAAGTCGCTCAATTTCTATAATTTTGCATTTATGGCAACTGAGGGGCCAAAGAAACACCCTCAGCTGGTCAGAATTTGTAAGCCAGAGCTGATCTATTTTAGGATAAAAAGCCAAGGAGAGCAAATCAAAGGCAGAGGCACGAGAAATCTCACTGACCTGGGATGGAGTGAGTGGTGCCCCATGAAGATTAACCCTTTTCCAAATTGTAGTAAGCACACATAATACTCCTTGATGGGCAGAGCGGCCCCTGAGCCTCGCCACGTTGGCTTCATTACTGGGAGCAGCGTGAAGAAGCTTCCTCAGGGCTGAGGTATATGGGCTTAGTGAAAATGCTCCACAAAGACCATAGGGAAAGCTCTGGAAACTGCTGGATCATCAGATCAATAGACTCAAAGGTGACTGAGTTAGGTAGCTTTCTGCAGTTTAAACATTTGTGCAGGGACTATCCCCCATGCAGCCTTTTATTGACAGCTACAGATCAATGGTAATTTTTGATCATTTTCAACCTACATAAACCTATTGACCCCTTGGCCACCTTTGGGGCACTTCAAGTCGTCAAAAATAATCAGAGGAGATGGTGTAAAACTGTCAGACTGCTGAAGACTCTGAGTAGTCTTCCGTGTCCCCAGGAGCGGAGTTGAGAGGTTAAAATGTAGTTCAAATTGCCATCGGACCCTCAACTGGCTGAGCATCCCATAGAGTCCTGTCTTCATGCCTCATAAGCGATATGCTGATTTGTATCCCAGCTCTGACACATCTGCATATAAATTTTTAAAAAGTGAAAGAGGCTAAGGCTAAATCTCATTGGAACTATCAGATGGAGAGAACCGATTAGGATTAGTTCCAGTAGAAATCTCTTCCCACTTTATCTTCTGGAGTTATTCTTCATCTGGTGCATAACAAAAGCTGATATACTCCCCAGAATAAAAACGTGTGGAAAGGTTACCTGCATAGACAAGACGGTCTAAGAGAGAGGGAAGTGAGGATAAACTGATAACCAGAGGGGAGCGGTACAAAAGACTATAACTCAAAAGAACCAACAGGGCCAGGTTGTCACTCAAATGTCTGAGTGTTCACCTGGCATACAGGAAGTCTCCGTTCCAACCCAGCTTCACCTAAGATCAAGTATGGTGGTCATGCTGGCCATCCCATCACTCAAACCTGGGAGGTAGACACAGAATTTACACTTCAGGGTCATTCCCCATCACAAGGCAAATCCAAAGCCAGCCTGGGACACATGAGAATCTGCACCAAACAACAAAAACAACAACAACAAAAGTTTAATAATTAAAATCACAGGAGAGGAGAATGAGGCGGGAGAGAGACGAGTAGTGAAAATTAAAAGGTAGGAGAAAAAAATGCCAAGTTGAGAACATCCAAAGAAGAAAAGGAGAGTTGGGAGGAACCTAGAAAACACAGGATGGAAAGAGAGAAAAGCAAAGGTATGTGCAAGGGGTGGGAAGAAGAGTGGCACTTCAGAAATAACAAAGCAACAAGAGAACTCTTCCCCAGTAAAATGCGATATTAAGGTAAATGTAGGTGAGATTAGAAAACACTATTAAAATCCCCCTTTACTGGACCACACCTTGAAACATGTGTGTCACATATGCCGGGCTTGTACTTGAGGCACACGCAGGCCATGTTTCTGCATTAGACAGTGGAGGTTTTCAGGCAGGGGCATCTTGAATCCTTTCGCTTTCAAGGATCTGAGCCATAAATGTTTATTAAAAGAATCTATAATGAAATCAGTTCTGTTATTTTTTTTTCCTGGTTGCCGGGGGTATGCTGGAAGACAGAGCAGCCGGCTGTTAATCACTAAGTACTCATGTTATGGAAAGTGTATGATAGTATTGCCATCTAGGGGCTGAACAGAAGTCTCTGCTCTGAAGTAAACTGTAATGGAACAGGTGCCACTATTGACAATATACATATGCTTTTGCTTTATAGCCCACGTAGTTTTCCAGTTTCTTACGACAAAAACTGTCTCTAAGTGTGCCCAGCAGTCTGCTTTCTTATCTATAATCTATTAGAGGTGATTCTGGGTCACTCTGGGGCCTCTGCTTTTATTGGCATCTATTACTGAATCTTCTGAACAAAGAATTATTCTTTTTTGCATTATTAATCTTACCCATGTTTGCCCTATTTCCAGAGAAAAAAAATCATTTGTCAGAAAAGGATGCTTGTAATCAGGGCTGGAAGCACTGTCGGATTTAATATTCATTGTGGTCATCCTGGCTCGATGCTATATTTATCTAAAAGACCAATCCAATGTTGTGGAGAAATAAGTTTTTAAATATTCATGATCTAACTTTTAATATTTTAAAAAAGAGAAATTAGTATTTCTGTAAAATTTGTTTCATAGTCTGGACGCTTAGCAAATGTTTAAATATTAAAAGATTTCAGGAGGTTAGCGTGTAATATCATAATGGGACTTACTGAAACAGGAAAATTGACTTTATGAGTCTCAGATCCATAAAAGAAATTGTATTTTTCTCCGTCCAGGTTTCTCACAGAATAAGAGTGCTTGCTCAGTTGAAGCTTAAAACCAAGAATGGGAGGAAAGCATCAGAAATATGTCTGCAGTCTTTTAGTTGTATATGCTTTTCAGTTTCAAAATGACATTTGGAAGTCCCCAGTGTAAGGACCAGCCTTCCTCATAACTATGACTGAGTTCTCAGTCAACAACTGTGGAAAATAACTCCTTTTCCTACCTCTACCCATCCAGGAAAAGAAACACTTGATAAACTATCGATGTCACACTTAAACATCAAATAACACACAGGCTGGCCACATGTATCATTACATGTAAATAGCATCACTCAGCCAAGACTTAGTCATGGTCGTCTATACCCAGTGGTCATGGTTATCTCCTCTCAAAACTCCTGTGTGCGTGTGGGTGTCCGTGTGCGTGTGTGTGTGTGTGTGTGTGTGTGTGTGTGTGTGTGTTTACTCATGCATATGTTGTTATCCCCCTGTTGCAGGCATAATTCCTACCTTAAACAGACATATCCGTCTAGCCCAGATTGGCAAGAGCACCCCAGGGCCTCTCAGAATGTTAAGATTCTTAGCTCCAGTTAAGTTATGCAAAATATGTTAAATGTCTCTCTGCAAGGAAGAAACAAACAAACAAACAAAAGGAATTCTGCCATCCCTTTCTTCTTTTAGATCCACAGAGGCGAAATTCTCAAAGCCTAGATAACAATCACTTTGGGCGCATCTCACGGTCTTAGTTCCGGTTGCTAACAAATGGGAGTGACTTCATATTTGCATTAATAATAGACTTCTCCAAGGGTGTTTGTATGTTCATAGTTCAATGACTCGTTGCTGTTTTCCCAAGTTTGTCTTATCAAATTTGTAAGATGTAAATGCTCACCAACACAGTAAGTGGGGGAGGCTGGGAGGCAGAGGGGTCTCAAGTACAAACAAGCAACACTGGGGATTAGGATTGTCCCTGGCAGCTCTCACAAGGACTTCCTGTTAGCCTAGTGACACCCCTCTGCAGCTGCTGGCATGCAACTTGGGGCATCTTCATGAAGCTAAATGAAGCTCTCATCTTGGGCATCACAATTCATAGGTTACAAACTCTGAAAACCCAAAGGTCCCATCTGATGCAGCTTTTCCACCTACCCGAGAATCGTACATCAGTTCGATCAATGGTTCTCAACCTTCCTGGTGCTACAACCCTTCATGACAGTTCCTCATGTTGAGGTGACCCCCAACCATAAAATTATTTGCATTGCTACTTGGTAACTGTCATTTTACTACTGATACGAGCTGTAATGTAAACATCTGATATGCAGAATATCTGATACTCAACCCCTGTGAAAGAGCCATTCGACCTCCAGGTTGAGAACCACTGCATTCCTTGCTGTATTCAAAATGTTGACAGGAACAAGCAAAATAGCACCTACCTTCTCCCCAATGCTAGTCAAACCTTGACTGTATAGCTCTGCTATTGTTGCTGACACCATGTGTCCTGACTTGGCCATGCAGCTCAGAGAATAACCTTCTATCGACTTCTAAAGGACATCTAACCTGCCAACTTTCTTACAGGGAACAAGCCATCAAGCCAATCTTTTTGGCTTGGAACCATTCACAACATACCACATTGGCGTGGTAGCTGTAAACAGTGCAGGAAAGGTGTCAAGCCCCTGGACCCTGATTAAGACTTTAGAATCTGCTCCAAGCGGACTGATGAACTTTACAGTGGAGCAGAGAGAAAACGGCCAGGCTTTGCTGCTGCAGTGGTCAGAGCCAGTGAGGACCAATGGCTTGATCAAGGTAAAGTCCACCCTGCATGGGAAGTCACACCTGTCATCTTCCACATAAATAGATGAACCCTGACATGCCATCAGGTCACTGTGAGAAAACCAGCTTCCCAGCTGGGCTAATTCTCCTTGATGGCTCCTCCAGGCACTTCACCTTAGATCAGTGAGGAACAGCTTGGGGAGGGGCACCATGGGTCCAGCAGTGTGCAGACACTGCCTCATGTAATCCAAACATCAGCCTCACTAGGTGGGACCCACTAAACTTCATGAGGCTCATGCAGGTTAAGTAGACGCTTTGGGCAATATTGCCAAAGTGGAGGTGGGATTTGAAGTCAAGGAGTCCCAGAAGCTCTGAACTCTAAATGACCCTGGCCTTACTACCCCCAGAGCCACCTTCCTGTAGGAGTTTCAATAAGACCTACCTAATTCACACTCTGCCTGATTCACTAAGAAAGACACATCTGCTTGCTAACCCCTTGACTTCCACACGTAGCCCTGAGAAAACAGTCTGTAAAACGGGACACGTAAAGTGTCACCTCGCCAACCTGGCAGTAGAAAGGAGATAGAATTTCCATGAACACCTCACATTTGAAGCACTGAACCCTTACCCACGTGAGGTAGACCTACCTCCTCTTTTTGACATCCTTCCCAAGGTTGGCAGCAAATCAACCATCGGTTTTCTCCTCTGGCTTGCCCACTCTGGTTCTTCCCTGGGTCATGATGGCAGAATTCCTAGCTACCGCTGCTGTCGCCACTGCCTGCTCCTGTCATTCTCCCCAGATGGTGGAGATGGCCAGGGTCTATTTCATAGGAAAAAGTTAGGACTAACTCTAAACGTCAACTTAGAGTCTTTTAAGAAGAAAGAGACAGGAAATAACAGCTCTAGCCCAGGGTTTTCTGGAACCAGCTCTAACCTCTGAGCCTGTCCCTGGGCGGCCTCTCTGCTTAACTGGAGACAAGTGAAACAGGCAGGCCACTTTACTTCAGCAGACATCAGACAAGGCTTCCTCCAGGGCAAGAAACCTAAATCCCCAACCCTAAATCCTTTATCTTGGCTCTCAGGCCCTCCCCAGCAACAGAGCCCCTTCCACCCATCAAAGCTCTTCCTGTGTTTATTCTCCCTCCCCCGCGACTGCTTCTCCTGAACGTGATTGACAATAGGAATATTGACTCCCCTTCCCTTCATCTGCATTTCACCAAATATTTATTGAGCTTCTACTAAGTGCTGTGCACTTATTCAAGAGGGAACAAGACAGAAAAGGTCCCTGCTGTCAAGGCCCTTACATGGGTATGAATAAATTCGAGGGAGAGTGTAGTGTCAAAGAGGGACAGAGGCCCAAACAGTAAGCTGGTAAATAAACAAGCAAGGGAGATTCAGGGAGCCATGGATGCTATAAAGAAAATTAAATAGAGTCATGTAATTGTGCCTGCTCAGGCTATTTTAAAATGGATAATCATTTGAATTGAGTTGACATTTGAGCTGAACCCTGAATGACAAGACAGAGGCAGTCAAGTGAAGATATAAGAGGGGAAAAAAAAAAACGTTCCAGACAAAATGAACAGCAAATGCAAGGCCCAGAGGCAGGAGTGACCTTGGTATGCTCAAGAAAATAGAAGAAAGCTTGTGTGGATGGAACGTTGGGGAGGAGAAGATGGCACCAGGAGAGACCAGAGGCAGCACGGGCCCAACCTTGTGGGCTGTGACAGTAGCGGGGAGACTGTTGAGAGTTCAGTGAAATGTTACCAAAAGCTTTAAGCAAAGGAATAGCACGATCACGTCTCATCCAGACTGCACACTGGCGACTGGAGAGAGACTAGGAGAGATTAGAGCCTATTGGAGAATTCAGGGTAGAATTCAATTAGATGGTTCAAATCAGGGTGGAAATTGTGAAGTCAAGAAATATGGCGGTATTAGAAATGTACATAGAGAGGAGAGAGGATATCTTTGATAATCGGCCAGATCTGAGGCATGAAGGAAAAAGACGGTGTCTCCTCAGACTGGCCTCTGGGCTCTGTCCTTGAGGTGTTAGCTAATTGTGAAGGGAAAGTTGGAAGAGGAACAGGTTTTAGGGGTGAGTAGATAGTCAGAGGTCAAAGTCTAGACTGCCACAAGAGGCTGTCACCGAGATGTGTATCTGTAGTTTGTTAGCAAGTAGCCATATTTAAAACCATGGTGACGGACAGCATCTTTATGAAGAGAATGTAGTTAGTGATGGTGAGAAGATCTTGGGGTCACACATTAAGATACAAGAAATTTGGGGATCATGAAGAGGAAGAGTGGCCAGAGGAGAATGGAATGAGAAAGAACACTGAGGGAGGGGTGGGTGAGTAGGGTACCCCAGAAGCGAATAGAAAAGATGCTGTGTGTCACTGAGATGGGAAGAGACACAAGAACGGAAACGCAGACCCTGACTGGGGAAGAGCAAGCTCACTGCAATCTTGGCAGGAAGATGCTGCGCTAGGATCCCCTAGGATCCCCTAGGCTTGTGGAAAAGATGGTGACCAAGAAAGGTGGAGACTCATTGAAGAAACTTGAGTGGGAAGGACAGCAGAGATGTGGGACTGTGGCCAAGAGACTGAGGTATTGAGACCTTTATGTAAAAATCAATGAGATGGGAGAGCACACTTACACACTAATGGAAATAGCCAGAGAGGGAGGGGACCCGGTGATGGAGGAGAAAATGTGGATCATCTCAAGAGTGACATTCCTAGAAAAGGAGGGGGAGTGACAGCTTGGGTGGCTTTTAACTGGACATAGATACTTCAGTCCTGGTGAAGATGACCACTGGTGCTCTTCAGCTAACCTTGGGATACATCCAAACAAACCCATCACTAGCTGAAAATATTATTGAACTGAAAATGTATTCTAAATCCATAGCCTCCGAGTACCATAGTTTGGCCTACTTTAGTTATTCCTATACACATTTAAATTAGCCTTCAGTGGACCAAAATCACCTCCCACAAAGGCTATTTAATAGTAAAATGTTCAGTGTGTAATTTGTTTAGTACAAAACTGAAGGTTAAGAAAATGGCTGTTTCAATATGTCTTCTCACCAGACTGTAAAGATACCATAGATCAGAGAACAGCCGGAGTATCCCACTCAGGACTGACAGGAGTGTAAAGGTAACAGGAAACAACATAGAGTGAGCTTTCCTAACTTCATCAGCATCTCAGCGGAGTAGGCAGGGATGTCAGCAACCAACTCTGAGGACAAGACCAGCAGCACGCTAGCCGTGAATGGGGAGACGATAAGATAGAAAAGAATTAGCTTGAACAATAAGAGAGCAAATGCAAAGGGGAGAATAGGGCTACCATTTGATGATTAGCTAAATAGAGATTTATGAACCAGCCAGAGAGTATTTGTCAGTTCCTTGTAATTACAAATGATTGCCGCAGAGGTTAAGACTCTGGGCGTGGTGAGCACAGATGGGCTTGCCCAGACCAAAGGCAAATGCCACCAAATAAGCAATTGATTCTTTTGTGACTTCAAAAACATCTCTGTCTCCCATATAATTATTAAAACTATGTAAATGTATGTCTGTATATCTGACAGATAGATAGATAGATAGATAGATAGATAGATAGATAGATAGATAGATAGAGAATAGATGGATAGATAGATAGATAGATAGAGAATAGATGGATAGATAGATATAGGATAGATTGACATGCCTAAGTATGTATATATTTGTATAACACAATGTGAGCCTACATACACATACACACATAGACATAGATTTTTCACCTATATCCTGTAACAAGGATGGCTAGCAGTATAAGTTCATTTCACAGAAAGTTTGGAGGAAGGCAGATTGCTCATATAAACCCATGTACCGTAGTCAGGATGAGATCAGAGGCATGAGGTGTCCATAAACAGGACATTTGAATGTTCTTCTTCCCTTTCAAACCTCATGAGAGTCATGCGAGCCATAGCATTTCACAGCCTGAGGTATGGGTCAGTGCTTAGATGTTATCCAAGTTTTCTGTGGACTTCACATGAACGATGGCAGACTCCCTGTCTAAAGTCAGCATCTGAAAGCTAATGGGTTAGGACCACTGGGATCAGGCAGGCATGTGAATGTTTTAGAGAGGCTAAAGAGCTTCAAGGACCTCACAGTACTGACATCTTCCTCTTCTCTTCCTCCTGCAGACATACAACATCTTCAGCGATGGGCTCCTGGAGTACTCTGGCCTGGGTCTGCAGTTTCTCTTCAGGCGCCTGGCCCCCTTCACTCTCTATACCTTGACCCTGGAGGCTTGCACAGCAGCAGGCTGTGCTCACTCAGTGCCCCAACCTGTCTGGACAGAAGCAGCCCCTCCAGATTCTCAAATGCCTCCTACCATCCAGTCTGTGGAGCCCACCAATGTAAGGCTGCACTGGTCTCAGCCGGCTAACCCCAATGGGAAGATAATTCGTTATGAAGTGCTCCGCAGACACTTGGCGGGAGAGGACTGGGGGAACACGACGTTGCAGGCGGACGATGGGAACACTGTTTTCACAGAATACAACACGGAAGGGAACGGGTGGGTGTGTAATGACACAGGTCTCGAGCCATGGAGGCAGTATGCCTATAGAGTCTGCACTTGGAATTCTGCAGGGCACACCTGTAGCTCTTGGAATGTGGTAAGAACACCGCAAGCACCCCCAGACGGCCTCTCTCCACCAGAAATATCCTATGTGTCTGTGAATCCCCTCCAACTGCTGATTTCCTGGTTTCCACCCCAACGCTCTAACGGTGTCATCCAGTCCTACGAACTTCAAAGAAATGGAGTATTCTCCACTGTCAGATTCAATGCCAGCACCTTCAGCTACACGGACAGCCAGCTGCTTCCCTCCTCAACGTACAGTTATGCAATCCTGGCCTGCACCGGTGGTGGTTGCTGTACCAGTGATCCTACCAACATCACAACTCCTGAGGCACCTCCATCCGGAGTCAGCCCTCCAGTTCTTTGGGCCATCAGTGCCCACCAGATAAATGTCACTTGGTCCCCGCCATCAATCCCAAATGGAAAGATTGCTAAATACTTGCTTCGGTGTGATGGTGAGGAGCACCTGGCTGGGCAGGGCCTGTCCTTTCTGTTCTCTAACCTGCAGCCTTTCACTCAGTACAATATCTCCCTTGTGGCCTGCACAAGTGGAGGTTGTACTGCTAGTAGGGCCACATCCGCCTGGACAATGGAGGCCCCGCCAGAGAACATGGACCCACCAACACTGCACGTCACAGGCCCAGAATCCATAGAAATTACATGGACACCTCCAAGAAACACACATGGCCAGATTAGAAGTTATGAGCTCCGGAGAGATGGAGCCATTGTGTATGTAGGGCTGGAAACTCGATACCATGATTTTACCCTTACTCCAGGTGTCGAATACGGCTACTCAGTGACTGCCACCAACAGCCAGGGCAGTGTCTTGAGCCCACTTATCAAGGGTAAAACCAGTCCCTCAGCCCCCTCAGGTTTACAGCCCCCAAAGCTGCATGTGGGGGATGCTCTTGAGATCTTAGTGGATTGGGACCCTCCAGTGAGGGCAAACGGCAAGGTCATCAACTATACTCTCTTCATCCGTGAGCTGTTGGAAGGAGAAATCAAAACCATGTATGTTAACACAACGCACAGTTCTTTTGACACACGGTCACTCACAGTAAAGCACCTAAAGCCATTTCACAGGTAAGCAGCCAAGCTGGGTTTCTGGAAGCAAGTTATTGTCCTTTCTGTTGTACTGTCGAGGCAAGATATATGAGACAATTCCTTCCATTTTCACTTAACAACAGCTTGCTTTCTCAGACTCTGAAGACTAGAACTCTTACAGGTGATGTTTTGATTCTAGTTTTTCAGAAATGTTGGCAGTTTGTCACCTAGAGTAGATCCTGAAGACATGGGGCCAATCCCCTACACGAGTTGCAGGCCATCAACAGTTATTTAGCTGAAAGAAGAGCTGGAGAGACCACTAAGTGAGTTAAGCACTTGGCACTTGAACATGATGATCTGTGTTAGATCCCTAGCACACACAGAAACAGATAGGTTTGTTCATATAACTTCAGTTAGTGGGCACACGACGGGTGGAATCAAGACCACCAGATTACCAGCCAGCTACAGACTGGTTGAGTCAATGACCTGCAGATTCAGGGAGAGACCCTGTTCTCCAAAAATAATGTGGAGAGTCTCGGTCCACTCTCTAGCTTACACACACTCACGCATGCACACACACACTCATGCGTATTCATACACATACATACACACACACACATGCATACATATATACATGTACACACATACATTCATACACACATATACACACACACTTACACACATAGACATACCCATACACACATACATGCGTACACACACATAAACTCATACATCCACATACATATACATACGCATACATATTCATATACACACATATTCATATGTACACACACATACACACACACAGTCACTCACACACACACATATTCATACACACAACTAAAATGTATCAGCCAGAAGTCTACTGAATCAGGATTTGTAGCCTCCCCCCCTCCTGGGATAATGAAGTCTTGAGTGAAGGATCCTCTGCAGGACTCCCTCAGTCTTGAACTCATGACTGCTCAGATGGCAACACTTTGCTAGTATGTGCTGTCCTACATCCTGTCTGGCTTCTGTGAGATACATTAAAGTATTCTACACCAACACTGTTTCTGAAGCTTCAGAACCTCTGCGCATTTCCCCCATCCCATTTCAGGTACCTGACATCCCCATAGAAAAGAGTAAAATTTAGTAAAGTCAGTAGAATCACTTTTTAAAAGATTATTTTGAAGTCTGCAAAGGCATTGCTATCCAGCCACCACAGGTAAAACTGAGCTCTAATTATGATGTCCTGGTGTGTAGATTAGACACCGCCACGATTATCTCTGGTGGATAGGGCTGTTTGAATGAGGCATTCATGGTCTTATGCATCTACTCAGGGCAATTATTTAGCATCATATTAAATATTAAACAGTAATTAAAAGCTCTTCAGGTATTCTCCACAGCTAATCTACATGCTATGTGAGTGGGCTTTTATCTCAGGACATTTAAAAAGCCCAGGTTGGCAAGGAGCCCTGCATTTTTGTCAGAATTTCCTCTTTATGTGACCTCAACACAAGTATCAAAATTATTTCCATCTTCCCCCTCTTTGAGCCCTGATATCTAAAAGGATTTCTAGAGAAAATGGCTTCCCAGATGTCAAAGTAACACACTTTCTAAGGAAAATAAATACATACAAAGACCAACATGGTAATCCTAGGAAGAACACATAGAAGAAGTGGAGAAGTGGAGTCCCGATTGTCAGCTGACACCATGACACTGGGGAACTGTAACAGAGTATCAAAGCTGGATCAGTTTCTTGTCCTTTTTGTTTCTGTGGATTTAAAATCCTATTAGTATTTACTAGATACAATGAAAATTAATGTGTCCATCTTTGTCACCCCAGATGGCCAGTAGAACAGGAAAGAAAGTGATCCGGAACTTTGTTTGTTTGACATTGTTGTTGCTACTGTTGCTCTTGCTGTTACTGTTGCTTTTAAGAGAGTCGCATGTCGCTCACTATGGACTAGGACTCATTATAACACTGAAGATGATCTTAGACTCCTCATCCTCCTGATCTACCTTCCAAGTGCTAGAACTACAAGTCTGTGCCACCACAGACAGCTTCTGTTTGTTTGTTTGTTTTGCTTTGTTTTGTTTTGTTTAAGACAATGTCTAATGTCACCTGGACTGGCCTTGAATTTCTGGTCCTCCTTCCTCCACCTCCTCCATGCAGGGATTACAGGCTTGCCCAACTCTGCACAGTTAGGACTGCCAGGGCTAGCCCTTCACTCATTCTAGGCAAGCATTCTACCAAACAAGTCACGACCCTCACTTGACCTAGGACTTTAAAACTACCCACAGTTAATCCAGAAAGTCCTTCCCTGTGTGGAGAATCAAAATTGACCTGACAGCTTTGTTTAGAAATCTGACCTACCATACACATACACAGTGGTTGGTCTGCACACTGATCAACTGGCAATGCCAGCCCACTAGAGACATGTAAGACAGAAGATAAGACAGGAGAGACAATGGGTGGGGTGAAGAGGATGAAAAAAGTCTTCTTTAGGTATATTTTGAGTTGCTGTGATAAAATACCGGTTCAAACATAGCTTAACAGGAGAAGGGCATATGTGGGCTCCCAGATGACTCAGTCCATTATGGTAGGGCAATCAGAGTGGCAGGAGCGTAGGTCACAGGACATCCAAAATCAAGTAGCAGGGTGGGATGGTTCCCTGGGGTTCAACCCACTTTCTCCTCTTCGTTGAGTCTAGGACCCCCACCCCAGGAAATGGTATTACCAGCTCTTGTTTCTGGGTCTTCCCACCGCAGTGACTGTAACCAACCTTGAACCCACATAGGTGTGCCCAGAGGCTCTTCACTTGGGGTGTTTTCCAGATCCTGTGAGCTGACAGTTCACACTAACCATCACCGAATCATATAGGAAATGAAAAGCATAATTAAGACGGCGGAAATGCAGAACAGAAACCAAGCCAGAGCAGAACAGGGACAAGCAGAGAGGAAGGAGAAAATGACAACTGGATCGGAGGACAGTAAGGAGGGGATCACAGATAGCCCCGCTCTGGAGGGAATGTTGGTGTGTCAGGAAGTCAGCTGGGCGAGAGAAGCAAGCAGCAAGCGCTCACTGGCAGCTGAGATACTCCACGCTAACCAAGGGCCTTTGCATTGGGAAAGGCTCTGCTATGGAAATCTAACCTTTCCAAGCAGTAGATACCAGCTCTACAGCAAAACATAATTGATTACTGGAACTTGACTGGGCAGTGATACGGTGTCTCCATGATGGATAATCTAGTGTTCAGGGGGTTAACTTTGCCCCCCAGAGGTCTTTGCAGGAGGCAAGGGAGCCTGTTTTAAGATGTCAGATATCAGGTGAGAAGATTCATTACCACGGAGACCGTAACTCGGCAATGCCCCTTCATAATCTGAAAGTATTCCCAGGGAATGGCTGGGCTCTGGCTGCACAGTAGGAGGAGTCTGAGTTGCATACAAAGCTGTGTTAAGTACCTTTCACAGTAACCAAGTTTTCATGCTGCTGAGGGGATCAAGAGTTTCTTTACGCCATACATCTGTCTTCAGGCAAAAACTGACCACTCACCAGACAGATGAAGGTCTTTCCCTTGAGTTTAAAAACTTAGATTGAAAATGCTCAAAACTTTCCATAAAAATATACCTTATTATTATCTAAAAGCTAACTGTCCATACAAATAAATATAAACTCCTTTCTTTTTCTTCTGAAAACATGTGGTCTTCTAAAAACTTGGCCCAGTGAGAATTAAGAGTCACCTGTGATTCTACGTTGTTTCCTCTAGGTATGAAGTACGAGTCCAAGCCTGCACTGCCCTCGGATGTACCTCCAGCGAGTGGACATCTACCCAGACTTCAGAGGTCCCACCTCTGATGCAGCCAGCCCCACATCTGGAGGTGCAGACAGCTGCAGGAGGATTCCAGCCTATAGTAGCTGTGTGGTGGGCAGGGCCACTCCAGCCCAATGGAAAGATTATATGCTTTGAATTATACAGAAGACAAAGAGCAAGCTGGCCTGACGTGTCCAGTCCACTGCTAATCTACAACGGCAGCTTAAGTTCCTTTATGGACTCAGAGCTATTACCATTCACGGAGTACGAATACCAGGTATGAGCCCTATGTCTTACGAAATTCAGGCTAAGATGGTGCACACCCATCAGTGTTCCTTGCAATTCCAAAAGACACTTAAAGAGATGTAGGTTCACAGAGAAGATTGTAACACCCTTTAAATCTTCCCAAGTAGTTAGTGAGTGGAGGAAGGCCATCCATTTACCCTCTTGATTTTCCTGGTCCTTGGTCCATATGCTTGGTTTTTCTGTAGGTTGCAGATAGATTGATAGATTGTTAGTCGTATGGTTTCTACTGTCAGGCTTCCTTCCACCTGTGTTCCCTTGCTCGTAAGTATTCCTCAAACCATCCTTAGGAAAATAATCCGTGGGTTGGGGAGGGGGGGAAAGGAAACAGAAGCAGAGTGGCAGATGTCGCTGGTCACGGTGCTCAAGGGAAAGGGTGTAGAGAAGAACCAGAGGCTGTACCTAATCTGCCTGTGGAAATGAAGTAACTAAAAAACCAATCCATCCCTCAATCAGTAGTTTAGAAGACATTGCATATCCCTTAAGACTGAACATTGGAAATGATGTTCAGAATACTTGGAGATCTCCGAGATGCTTGTGAGGCTTGGCTTTGCCACTGAATCGGCATGCACCATTCCTGCAGCAGCAAGGCCATTTCCTAAGGAAGATGGATCTGATGTGGCTTAGTGTCACCTAGACAAGGGATATACACAGGGCTGCACTCAGCCACGCACTCACTTAACACTTGACTTTACCCAGCAACTTGGAATTTTCAAAGGCAGAAATCAGAAGTCTTGGTCGAATTACCCCTCAGCTCAGATTCCGGGTCTGTCTTCCCCAGTCTCCAAGCACTATTTATTCTCCCACTGTTCCCTCAGCTTCACAGGCCCCCGTAGTGTCTCCTCTACTTAACCCAGACTTAGTTTCTCTAGCTTGCAGTTCAAAGATGGCTGATGGATAAGCCCTGAAGGTCAGGCAAATACCAAGAAGAATCTTCAGATAAAAAAGACTAAGCCCGGAAAGCTTGTCCAAAGGCTGTAGCTCAGTTGGCAGAGTGTCTGCCTAGCAGGCAAGACTCCCCAGGTTCTGACCCAGCACTGTAGTAACACAACATGGTGACACTTGCTTGTAATCCCAACACTTCAGAGGGTGAGGCAGGAGAATCAAATCAGAAATAACAATAAAATTTCTAGCAGTATGATAGATACAAATAAGTGTGATGATTTGATTAGCGGTAACATTTTATGCATGAAAAGAGTACCTCAAGACAACATTGTATTTACACAAATTGCCCGAAGAAGTCAGCATTGAAATATAAATCAACTCTTGAACTGAAGAAATACATAAAACATAAATCCAAACTTACTGTTTGTAATTACAAATCTAAAAACTCTCTTAAAAGCAAGAGTGTCCTCTTGGTTGAGTGCCAACTATTTGGTTCCAAGATCGAATTTGAATGGATGGGAGGCTATTTATAGTATTTATTTATTTAGCCCATTTACATATAAATGTTTCCACAGAAACAGTTTTATGATAAGAAAGCCACCTAGATAATGCTGACACAATTATAGAGCAAACTAGAGATATACTTTGTTACATTCTTGTTTTTAATTATGTGAGTGTGTATGTGTGTGTGTGTGTGTGTGTGTGTGTGTCATGTGAGTGCAAGTACATGTGGAGGCCAGTAGAGGGCGTTTGATCTACTTGAGCTGATGAACTCTGGTCCATCGCAAGTACTTCAACCACGCTTGACTTAGGAGACCTCTCTTCAGCCCTCCAAAATAAGTTGAAAGCAGAGCAAACTGGAAGGCTTAGGATGGGATTTTGGCTTGTGTCAGTAAAGAACAAATACCTATTGTTCCCACTCCAATAGAATACTATTAGAAAATGTCAGGTCCAGCGTGGCCCTCCCTTTGTTTTTTTTTTTTTTTTTTTTTTTTTTCTCACTATCCTTGTGAAAAGGTGTGAAGTTGTCAGTGAGCCCTGGGTTCTCAATCACCTGATCCACTTTTTAGATGGCAGTAAATACTCCGAGACTCTGAATGTAAACTACTGACTGCAGCTCCCTCGGCGTGCCTGTCTCACTGGGGTAAAGCAGGATCACACATCTATAGACATCTCAGCTCCTTAAGGCATTTAAGTTCCAAGCATGTATTGAATCTCTAGTTAGGGCTCTTACCAGGAGTGATGGGTGATCAGAGGACCCTTGTCAGAGGCTGAGGCGAGCGGATTCACAGGATGCTTTTATGCTTTTATAACTACTCCTGTTGACTTTGAGTCACAGTCTTCTTCTACTTTTCACCAAGGTTGCTGGCATCCCAAGTGCGAGCTATCACATCCAACTTATTCTAGGTTGTTTTCGAGACAGAGTCTCGCTGTAGACTTGGGTGGTCTACAACTCAAATGTAGATTGGGTTAGCCTTGAACTCAGAAACCTTCCATCCTTCTGCCCCACCTTCGTCTTACATCACCAAGTGCTGACATTAAAGGTGAGCACCACAAAGGGGATCCCACCCTAGCCTTCTTAAAGAAAACCCAACTCTTTACCTGTAGGGGAGGAAATGAGGTCGATGCTCACTCCAGAAGTTCCTGTCTCAATCAAACTATGTTTTCCTTGTAAACCCTTTTATGCATCCCTGTCATTGTCATATGGTTTGCTTGTGTCCCTCTAGATCTTTGGAGGTAAGAGTTAGTACTGAGTAAAATAACACTTTGAGAAAAGTTGAGTCATTTCCATCTCAACACAGCTCCTGGGAGTCTGAGATTCTGTAGAACCTAACACTGAACAATAAGGTGTAAAACAGACAAACAAACAAAAGAGCAGGTGAGGTATAAAGCCTGACTGTGGGTGATAGGAATACCTGTTTCTAGTCCACAAGGATGGGCAGGTGGCTTTGTGGAACAACTCATGCTGAGTCCTATCAGAAATCCAACGGTCCTCATGAGTACTAAATGAAGGGCTGTCTGCTGGAATCTGATTCTCAACCCCGTAAGTGTGCTTTCATGCCCCTATGCTGAATGGAATCTTTCCAGGAGGAGACCTCCCCCTTAAACCAATATCACAAGACTATTAGGCAGAGCCATGAGATACCTCCAAGTCCAATTGGTGTTTTCCTCTAGACCACTTTCTTCTTTGGACACTTCCCAATTGAACTGTGCTGACCTGTACTCTTTATACTACAAACTTCTGTCAGAAATTCCTTGATTGATGAGTAAGCCAGTGAGGACAGTGGACTTCCCACAGACTTAAGGGGAAACCTTGTGTGTGCCTCTCTCCTGAGCTGTCCCAGGCTTGTGCAGAGTTGAGGGTGGAACCCAGGGCTTTACACATGCAAGCTGAGCAAGCCTTCTACACTGAGCTCTGCCCCCAACCCTGCACTTTAGCTTTTACCTCAGGGAGAGATGTCTAGCTAATGAGCAGCTCCAGGTAATTCTGCATTCATATTCATACTCTTGCTTAAGGCAATGACTCACCATGGAGTTGCTGGGGCCTGCCAGGGCTCCCCTTCACTGACTCGTGCTGACAGGGACTTAATTAGCTCTCCTGAAACTTCCCCACACTGACAGATTTTTTTTTCAATAAGCACCCCCAACACACTCGCAGGCTTCTGGTGACTGGGCGACTGAGAATCTACAGCTCAACCTGGCAGGAGACTTTCTGACTCACTGACATGAGGCTCTGGTCTTGGGACTAAAGCTGAGGAAGCAAGGGTGGGCTGGAGGCTGCCACTTTCTGACCAGCCAATGTTGACTTCCAAGAAGAAGATGGAGGGAAGACTGTGAAGGAAACATGGAGGGGGGGTCCTTATATTCCCCACCAAAGCAGATAGATTAAGACCTCAGTAGGGCACTGTGGGTCTCCACCAAACCTACCAAAGTACAGGTGCTGAGTTAGAAGGTTAAGGAGAGACAGGGGCATCTGGTCTTTTGGATACTTGGGCAATTTAGCTTCTTCATGCCTTTCCTCATTGTCTTAGTTTACACTTGTTATAACAGAATGTTATAGGCTGTCTTAGTTAGGGTTTCATTGCTGTAAACAGACACCATGACCAAAGCGACTCTTATAAGCCACAACATTTGACTGGGGCTGGCTTACAGGTTCAGAGGTTCGGTCCATTATCAACGTGGTAGGAGCCATGGCAATGTGCAGGCAGACATGATGCTGGAGAAGGAGCCAAGAGTTCTACGTCTTGATCTGCAGGCAGCAGAAGGGGACTGTCCTCTGCAGGCAATCAGGAAAAGGCTCCATCCTTACAGTGACACACTCTCTCCAACTGCAAACACTTATTTTTCACCATTCTGGAGATTTTGAAGTTCCAAGGGTGAGGTGCCCATAACTGCCATGTCTGGTGAGGGAGCACTCTGCTTTACAAAACACCATCTTATTTATCGTTGTATCTCAGAAAGGAGAGGGAGAGGGCAAGAGGGAAAGGACACAGAGGGGGTGTCTAGTCTCCTCTCATAAGGGCACCAATCACATCTATGAGGAACCCATCTGACAAGAACTAGTCACCCTGTAAGACCTCCTGACTGCCTACAGAGGACAGTCCCCTTCTGCTGCCTGAAGATCAAGATGTAGAATGCGGGGCTCCTTCTCTAGCGTCATGTCTGCCTGCACACTGCCATGCCTCCCCCAACCATGATACTAACGGACTGAACCTCCAAACATTATTACCTTGGAACCAAGACACCACACAGTAAGACTTAGTTCTTCCCTCCACACTCAAGCTATAGAAAGGGTGGGCTACAAGAGTACAAAGAAATTCACCTCATTTTGACTTTTATTATTTTTTTTATTTATCCTTTTTTTGTTGTTTCCTTATTTATTGTGACACAGGGTCTTGGTACATAGCCCTGGCTGGACTTGAATTCATAGAGATTGGCATGCTTGTATCTCCAGAGTGCTGGGGTTAAAGGCTGGTGCCAACATGGTCCATGTTAGTTTTGCCTTCTCTTGATTGACCTATGTCATCTACAGCTTGTGAAATTTGACAAGATAAATCCTGACTCGAAGCCCTTTCATTCGATGACTGT